AGAGCAGGGAGAGTCCCGAAACCGCACTCAGGGAATGGAGAGAACAGTCTGAGCATCCCAGACCGAGAGCTGACCGGGCTGGGGCGGGGGGAAGGCTTTGGGAGAGTGACCACCTGAAGCGAGATGACCCAGAGCAAAAGAGATCCGGAACCAAAAGGGACGATCTTCCAGAGGGTCCTCACCTATATACTGGGCATGACGTGTATGTTATGGAATAGATTATTGGCCACTCTGGGTCTCAATCCCGAACCTAAAATCAAAGCCTGGGCTAGTAACTGGGGCTGTGCTCCCTCCCAGCTTCTCCTGTTTGCAGACAGCCAGAGAAGCTGAAAGACCTTGGCAGCCATGTAAACATCACTTTTTATCAGCTTTCTTCTGAGCATAAATCCAAAACACAGCCTCTTGCTAGCTACTATGAAGAAAGTTAACTCTGTCTCAGCTTAACTCAGTACATGCTATTATCAAGAGATGTGGCGATGTATTTTAGAGTAGTGTTTAATTTGTTATTCTGTGCTTGAGGAGATTTGTTTTAAAAGCTAATATAAGCAGTGCTTTATGTTAGAAATGCTGCCTGAATGCTTTAGAAACACATCTTAAAAGTCCCAAAGAAAACGACTGAGGGACTTCTGGATGGGAAATTGTTGAGGAGCAGGAGAACGGCATTTCTACATGTGAGATCTTACACTTCTGAAAGTGCTCTGGCATGCAAGACAAGGCAGAACTAAAGCTATCTCTAGAACAGGGACACCATCATTATTCACTGCTCATGTGTGAACCAGGTGATGTGTTGGAAACAGGAACAAAACAGTCTAGCCTGTGACTCTGCTTCCATGAGTATGTTTGTGTTCTGGCATACACTGGTCACCTATGTTGATGAGAATCTCCTAAACAGTGAAAACCTATGTCTTTCAGTAGTGAATGAACTGCATATTGCTTCCTGAAGAAAATAGGTTACATAAATATTAAAGAAGTCTATATTTGAAATCACAGAGATAACTAGTACTAACACTTTGAGGGCAGTCCATTTTTTGCATTCTTTTCTGGAAATAATGCTTTAAACCCATGCTGCGTCTCAGATATTGTCACCACCTGTTATTTCCAGTTCGTCTTAAAAAGAATTAGTACTGTTCAGCCACTGATGGGGATGGTTGCAATTGTTAAACCACTAGGACATGTCATCACATGATCTAAGGACTTTATTCCAATAAACATTTGTGGCATGACATTGACGCCAATACAATTTAGTGAATGTTGTTAATAGACACCTTTCTCACAGTTATGATGCCTTCCTGTGTGTCTTTCTGTGTCACAATATCAAACATATCTGTCCCATCGCCATCTATAATTCTATACTCTACTTCTGCGTTTTTTCCAGTGTCTGCATCTGTGGCTTTGACGCTGCCAATGGCTGTCCCAACTGGGGAGGACTCGGGAACGCGGAGGTGGACGGTACCTGTCAACGAGACAAAGAGCCACTCAGGAGCCCCATAAGGCATTACACATGCATTAAATTAACATTGTGTCACACAATAGCTGATTACATATTTTTGTGTATCTTTTATTCTAGAGAACTTGCCATTTAATACTGGGAGGATGGGCAAAATGTGAGGCAGAGAACTATGCAGGGGAAAACTTTAGGTAGAAGACTGAAAACAAAATTGTAGGAAAACAAAAACACAGAAAAACAAAATAATAGAAAAATAGGTTTGAAAAGGACCTCTGTTCTCCTGTCTCAAAGATGAATCAATTATGTCTGTATTTGTCTTGTCTATGTCTGAAATATCATGTGAAAAGACTGCTCTGTGTTTTCTGCTTTTTTCCCCTTAATATCTAAAGTGAACCTTTTGGGATACATTTTACATCTATTTAATCATGGAAGCATTACAAAGAACAGAACCCCCTGACTTCACTGGCCAATTCTAAGCAATTTCAGCTTTCAAAATTAGACAGTCAGATACAATATTAAATAAAATTGAATAACAACTTAATACAGGGATAGTTTTTGAAAATCCACACACAGAAGGTGTGCCTATACTTGTTAAAGCATTTAATTCATACTGAAATAAGGCTTATGAACACTTCAATTTTGGTTTTGTGCTACTTTCTCTAGCCCAGTTTTAACCCTTTATAAGGTGTCATTCAGCTGATAAAAAAATAGGAATAAAACTATCATCATTCAGACATGCTGCAAGAATTGAAATGAAAACATCACCATACATTTTAGTATTCTATGTCCCAGCCTTACTGTGGAAACTGTAAATTAAGGTTGAGAGCTCTGCTCTCAGCTGTCAGAACATACAGTAGGAAAACGTGGGACACATAATGCACTATGAAGAAGACTCAGAATAAGATTTTAAAATGAATGCAGATACAGCTGTCATTCTGAAGATGAAAGTCAAGTCATCAAAGCTCTACTGTAAAGCATTTTCTTCTCTGGCCTTAGTTAAGAGTTCCAAGATTTGCTGTTTTACTTAGAGTCTTCCTAAGGTAAGCAATGTGAGTTAGAACGATATAGTTCAGTTAACAGTAATGCAAAAGTGGAAGTGGTAAAGGCCAGCAGACAGAACAGCAGAAAGTTGAACAGGTAACCCAAAAGGCATCACATGCGTACTTCATTACAAACAAGAAGTACAGAAAAGTCCAGAGAGGGAACTACTAGTTTTGTGCAATCTGGAAGAATCATGGGGAGAGAGCAGTGACAAAGCAGTACACGAAGGCCACCGGCAACATGATCTTATCATATCTTCAGGAAAGTACAGGTGAGTCATATGTGAGGATTATCAGTATCTCTTAACAGAGTAAATTACATGCCAGCTACAGAGTGACAAAGTAACTGGTTTCGATTTTGGGAACATTAACTGAAAAAAAACCCTGTTACTCATAGGGATATTTGAGACTTTCATTTTATAGAACTATTTTTTTCTGTTCTGTTACGTAATAGTTTGTTAAACCTGAAAACAAAAAAGAAAAAGAAGAAAAAATGCCAAAAAAACCCAACAAACAACCAAACCCCACACACTCACGTATAGTTTGTAATTAAATGTTGAATTAAAAATATAAAATTTTTTTTTTCATATAATTTTACTTAAGCAGCTTTTGGTATGAAACTGATACACAGCATCAGAATTAATACTTTATGGCCATATACACTCCACATTATATGATTTTATTTTTACTCAGTTACATTTTGATGTTTCAATCAAGTGATTTATCTTGCATTTGCTCTGGCATTTTCATTACCTTTCTCTAATACCTAAATCTGTGTACTTTGCTACGTTAGTATATAATCTCTTCATAATCGCCTAACGGTCAAAAAAACAGAAGAAAAAACAAGCCTCTGCTCTCATTTAGCATTTATTCAGTACTATGTGAGACTATGGTGAAAGACTACTTTTTTTTCCCCAATTAATGTCTGTATGTTATAATTAGTTTTATGATATGTCAACTATTAAACACATTTTTTTCTGGAGTGTTTAAAACTACATCCCCAAGCTATGCCTTGCTGATTCTACTTTGTCTCCCACTGCAATACTCAACTCATTAATTTAGTCTATGGAGTGGTAAGAGTGCATACCGTGAATTGCTAGTAAGGTCGTGGAATCAGAGTGAAAATAACCAGAAACCTATAATCTGAAAAATAATTTTATGTCTAACCTGTCCATTTATAGAAATCTCCACCATAGTATGAGACATTTTGTTTTATTATCTGTTGTCACTGAAGACATGTAATGCATTGGCTGTGTATGAGGTGCAGTGCAGCTTTAGACACTATATCAGAACATAAACTACACAAAACTAAAATTATTCTTGCAAAACTCTTCTGTCGATCCTTTTTCTCTCACTTGCCTTCTTCCTCAAAGAGAATAATTTACTGTTTGCATTTACTCCAGTGAGTGATGTTCTTTCATTTGTCTGTCAGGAATAAAAAAGGGAGGATCAAGGAAATGAGAAGTTTTTCCATATACTAAGGAGACTAGAAATCAGATGGAAGATTAAAGTCTACACACTTGGGTCTGGAAATACTTCAGTCAGTCATAAAGAATGAAAACACAATCTTATTCATGTTCACCCTTCCTCTATTTACTCTTGAATAGGCACATAATGTAAAGGTAAATATTTTTGGAGACTAACACAAGCTGTAGTCTCACAGGAGACATGGCCTGCTGTAATGCACATGCACTGAGTTTCAGTCAGACTCAGGCACCTAAGTCCATAATACACTTTTTCCCTTTGTTATTGGTCAAGACCATCGCCTTACTTCTGAGAACACTTGGAAATATTACAGTTGAAACAGAGATCCAGTATCTGAGGTCTTTGATGGCCTTTCTGTACAAAACCTTGATAACGTTTTATATTTTATAATGTTTACTCTGAAGAACAGCCACCGCTACATATATGGTTTTCAGAAGATCTTCAAAAGGAGAAAAACATTCTGAAAAGTCCTTGCTCTGTAATCTAAACAACAGAGGAATTAATGGCTCTTCTGGTTTTGGTTTTGGTTTGGGGTTTTTTTGAGAAAGTATGATAAAATACGTAGAATTTTCCACAATTCCGAGTTACTTGTGGCAGGAGTTTAATCTGTTATGAAATATTTTATTGAAATATGTAGCCGTAATATTCTCAGTCCTGTGACAACATAATGGACTTTTTAATATTTTTTGCTGGTAATTTATAAATCTGATATGAATATGATTGTCTCATGAACCTAATATACATGTGTTTTTTATTAATGGAACAGAATAAGAATAATTTAACTTAATCAGTATTAATTCCAGTAGTGTCACTGATCTCTGTTAAAATTGGAAATCATTACAATATCTATTTGGATTCTGAGATTAAAAATAAAGATTTTTTTTTTTTTAAGTCAATAGCTATTTTTACTTTCATACATCTAGTAAAATGAGTCAGCTTAATAAATGTTTTAGGTTCCGTTTCCAGTGAAATTTATATTTATATTGAGCAAAGCTACAGGCAGAGAGAAAATAGAGAGAAAAAACCAAACCAAAACAAAACACCACCACACCACCCCTGCTGAGAGTGAAACTAGAAGTTTCTTTAAATCAGAGGTCACATCTGGTTTACACTGACATTAACAGAAAAATGCAGAGTTATTTCTGGGATGTTACATCAGATCCTCATCTGACTCAAATATGATGTTGGACTGCAAGATAGGTCATGTAAAAATCATCTAGGAAGTTGATTCCATCATTCTAAGAATCAATTTAACACACTGCTTAAGGAACAAGAAAAAAAAAGGGAATAAATATGCATGTTTGGTGCTTATATGCTGTCTTAAATTTAACTGTTGAAACTAGCATTCCTGTAAAGCTTTGAACATGACACATCTTTGAATAGTCTTCCTCAACAGGTCCACAGAGGAGTAATATAGCATTTGTCACCTACCCAACACTGGAATTACCATAATACTCTGTATACAAATGTAAACAAGAAGAATAATAAATCAAAAAGTTGTGGAAATACAAAGAACATAAAACAACAAATTAACAATAAATTCTGTCCAGAATAGGTCCTCAATTGTTCACAATTTTTCTATTTTGAGTGTGCATATGAAATCACATACTGATAAACATCTTAGCTGAACACATATATATTAACTACAACATGAAATTGAACAAAATTATGTACTCCATTTGTGCCATAAAGAACATAATAAAGTCAGAATCATTTGAAGCTGATGATTGTGTTGTTTTGAGCCTGAGGGATGGTTCATCAATGACTACTGGATTCAGTAGAGATATACAGAAAAAAAATGGGTGGTAAGGATACTCTAAATACTTTAGCTAATAAGTATGTCCAAATCATCTCGCAAAATTTGACAACCACAGTATATGCAAAAGGCTTCAAATGTATTTAAAATTCTTAACCTTTAACAAGTTTGATGTTCCATAGTTTAATACTTCCACGCTGCATAGAGACGAAGAATTTTTTTATATTTTAGTTTGAGGATACAAAGTCTTGATAGCTGTACTATCAAAAGTTAAAAAGCATTATAAAAAGCTTTGGTAAACTTTATAAAAAGCTTTGGTAAACTTAAGCTGTTAAAAAACAGAAAGTTAAATGTAATTTACTTTACGTTGGGAAATGTTCTATTACGTTTTGTAGCTCTGTAACTGGAAAAGTACAAATCTGCTTGATTCCCTTCAAGTAATTTCTTTTCCACGTTCTTCATGATTAAATATTTAAGCAGATACTACAATTCAAACATCTCTGCATATGTAGAATTACTACATGCTTTATTTTCAGTGGGGGAGTATGTAGGTTTTAAGCAATAGGTAAGGGAAAAGAAAAACATGGCTGTAATGCTCTTATGAGTCCACCTACCACCCCCTCCTATAATGCTCGAAAGTATTCCATGTTTGCTGCAGTAATATTTGACCATGTAACTGTCTTCCTAACAAACAAATGCTGTAACATTATAATACTGCTTTAATAATAGTGAATAAATCAGTACATAAGCCTTTTGTTCATGTGTGCCCCATAATCTAGATTTATTCTAAATTAAACCAGATGGTGATTGCTTAACTCTTTAGTTTGAAGCTCTTACAGTGCAAGGCAACTATTAAATACAGCTTACTCTGGGGGAATCGAGGTGGATTGTCATTGACATCAGTCAAAGTGATGTTCACGGTGGTGGTCCCTGATAATCCACCCATCTGGCCTCCCATGTCCTTTGCCTGGATAACTACTTGGTACTGCTCCCTGTTCTCTCTGTTCATGTTCGGCAAAGCAGTCCTGATGATGCCTTAAATAAATAAAGAAAAAACAAAAATTGTTAATAATATATTTATTTTTGATGTGCAGCAATCTGATGATTTTTTTGTATTAGTCTGTGAAATATATTTCTAAAATATTAATTTAATGTTTTAAATAACATATTTGTGTTCACAAGCTTTATAAATAGTTTTCAGTACAGGCTGCCTGTTTGCTGAACAAACCTTAGTTCTACATCACAGCTCCCCTTCCAGTTTACATTTCATGCTAAAAACTATTCACCATATTTATGCACAAGTTTTATGAGTAGAAAGAACACCTTTTATTAGTCCAAGTATAACCATTAAGAGAAAAAGTACATTTTTTAGGATGCAAACCTTTATTCTTGCCTTTATCAAAAATGTTGTTACTTAGATCTTTAAGCTATCGACAGTACCACTGTAAAGTTATTTATGCTTCACAGTGTCAGCCGTAATAACTCTAATTTTTTATATTTATTATAAGAATTATAAACTATGAGGAAATAAGTAAGAGATATTATTTAATTTTTGTTAGTTTTTTAAAATTAATTTTCAGTTCATCAAAGATTTTTAAAGTGAAAGAAAAAATCCACAATTTTTGGTAAATGGAAATAATGACAATTATCCTGACCTGTTTCTGGTTCCACAGAGAAATATGGCTGTCCCTGAAGTATGCTGTAAATTATTCTGGCACTGTTTCCATACGAAGGGTCATCAGCATCAGTAGCTGTAACTTGCACCACAGAAGTTCCTGAAACATTCAAAGTTCAGGTTCAAGAACATCAATTTCCATTCAAGCAGACCCTAAAGAAAATTTCAGTTAATGTCTATTGGACCTATCAAATATATTTTTGATCTTATAGACAACTTCAGGTACATTCTTCTCTATTTCAGGATCTCATTCTACATAAATTGAATCCAAGCTTCCCTAATCCCAAAAGCATGATTAAGATCTAATTAGCAAAGGTAAACAATAGTTGAGCTGAATTCTTGTCCTTATCCACCTACAATAATTTCATATTTATGTACTCACTTTCTCTTTTCAGAAGATTTATTTGTTTTTATTACAATAAATATCTACTTTTCATTACTTAGAACAGATTTTTTTTTTTTTTTGCAATGATGTTAACATGATATGAAACTACACATGCAGGAACATGACAGAAAAAGATTATTAAATAGGTCATTGGAACTTGGGAACAAACAGTTGTCAGTTCTCCCTGCCTTGTAAGTGTTAATATAGCAGATAATACTAGAAGAAATACTGCCGTACGGACTTTGAAATCTGCTGGTTACTCCAGAAAAATTCCTAATCTTAAAGACCATCTCTAAATTTTAGTGGAATATACCAGTTCTTCAAAATGTGAAATGCTTACCATTGCCTCTGCCATTTCTTGCTGAATCAAAATAGTTTCTACATCCTGTTCAACTCTTCCATCAGAAAAATAAAGCATCAACAAGGATGTCCCCCCCATAATACCTCCATAAAGTGCAGGTATGATTTTAAGTATGTTGGAAAGAAGTGAAAAAAAAACAAGGAAAAGAAAATAAATGATCATATGCATGTGACTGGCTAGCCATGGACTATTCTAAGCATCAGAAGACTTTCAAACCTACTTCTCCCTTTATCCCAATTCTTTCCCTCCACCAAATACTGCCAAATATTGTGAAATAAAGTACCTGTAAATCCAAGACACTTGTCACAACTATTATTCCCTCTCACAGGCTGACTACGTTACATACTTATTCTAACATACACAGAAAGGCAAATAGAAGTAAATGCTAAACTTCCTCATTTTGTTTGGGATTTCACTAGGCAATGACAAATCTGCTTTTTACAAGTCAATTGTTCAATCACATGGACAACTGCGCCAATATCAATGGAATGAGCACATGCCTAACTGTTGAATCAGAGATGAGTTCTCAGAAATGTTCAGTTTTCAACTGTCTTAGAATAGAAACACTTGTTTCAGTAAGTCCCTAAAAGGACTACGACCTCATAAAGAAGGCATAATAGGCAAATTCCTGGTTGTATTACAACTGACATTAAAATTGAATAAATCACTGATTTAACAGGACAAAACCTCAAACACAAAATAAAAAAAAAAATTAAAATTGCTACACAAGTATAATGGAAAAAATAAGATAAAAATTATGAATACTTTGCACTGTACCAGTGATTGCTTTACTGATCACCTAGACTAGGGCTGAAACTGAAAATCTGAACATCTTTAAAATATAAGAATGTAGAGATGGTAGAGCTGTCCTGAAAACTTCATCTGTTTCTAGTTCACAAATGCCTTGTATCTCCAGCCACACTGAGCCCCATTTGTAGACATATGTCAATATAACTATTTTGTTAAAAGACACAATGGCCTTTTTGTTGAATATATTTAAGTTCTGAGGAGTATTGTCTTGATTCCAAAATTCACTTTTTGGACCATCTTAGTATGTAGCAAACTGCAGTGCTAGAATGTATACTTGCTCCTAAAGAATATTTGCTCTGAAATAGCAAAGAAGCGTTGTGTAAAAGAAAGATAAGAACAAATCATGTTCAGAAACTTAAGGGTTGCAAGTAAAAAAAAAATAACACAATAGAAATAAAATCAAACCACCAAGTACGACGATCAACACAGCATTATCCAAGTAAAGTTTACAAATCCTCCATTTCATATCCATAAAAACAGAGAACAGTCATCATCAAGGAATTTATCACAACACAACGTATTAACCTGAAAAGTCTATATTGCAAACACATGAAATGTGATTTTTCTCTCTAACACATGTAACTGAATTATTTCATGTTTCTGATTTTCACATTTCCTTCATGTGTTCAAACTAGCAGTGTTTATTAATAGGTCAGTTGTATGAGATTTTAATTTCATTTTAATTTAAAAAACCATGCAGAATCCACTTAGAAGGATAATTTGGAAGAAAACTGAGGAACATGTTTAATAGCTCTAAAAAAAATAAATAAAATTTCTATATACAAGGTAATAATATGTGTCTAATAGTTATTGCTGGCTCAATTATGAGTGTCATAATGCAGATATAAAATCAGACAGAAACCATGCAAAGAAGTGAACAGGAGGAACATATCAGTATATCAATATATGTTATGTGGTGCACATCAGCTGTCAAACCATCAGGTTTTTTTTCTTTGCTTCAGTTCACTGAAGTTACTGAAAATCACCTATGATCGATACTACAAATATATTGTTTGCACTGGTCAGAAATGTAGACCAGAAATCCCAAGCCACCAAAGATGATCAGTGATGCTGGGGTTTAAAAACTACAGTGTGGGTGTGACTTAGTCATCACTCCTTGGTCTGGACCTTGCTCCATCTTTTACATAGGCACAGATTGCTTCTGATAAAGTTTGTAAGAGTCTTTGGCCTCTAGGATCTAAAGCCTGATCTTAAATCTGTAGGAGGACATAAAGGAGACAGTGATAGTATACTGGAGAATATGGTACCAGCTATGTTATTAATATGATATATTAATTCCATTATTTTGTCCCCATATATTTGCAAATTTTATTATATGATAAACTAGAATTATACGGTGGTGAGCTAGGCCCAGAAATAAACAGTCATTTGTCAGATTATTGTAGTTCTCAGAAGGCATATTTTAAAATAATTTTAATTACAATATTTGAATCTCCCTAGGGTCTGGTACTATAATAGTAATTAATATATTTGGCCCATTTTAATGTGTTCCTTGCAAGCATCTTCAAACACCATACAAATATTAATGACTGTGACTTCACAATGCATTTATGATGTAGACGTATTAGATAAGAATCACTGAAGATAATTAGCTAGGAGAAAGAACCCACAGAATACACATTGTAGAGCTGAATTTGAAACTTGTGTTTCCTTTTCCATACTCCCAACTGAGTTATGTCACATTTAGCTACAGAAAGTACTCTCCCTAGTAAATTATCCATACGAATAACAAGTTGAATTGGTAGAAATTCTCTGGTCTTTCTAGCAGAAAAGAGAGGAAATAATGACACATGTTCTCCTCTGAAATAACAAACTATTTAACACAGCAGAATAACAGAGAAGAAGTGAAAAAGGCTGCATATTCAGAGAAGCCGATGTCAGAAAGGTCTTTGGTTACATGGTACTCTTGTAACTTGGAAAACTATAAGCTGGAAACAAGCACGTCAATGGATATTTCCAATTCTTTTATAATGTCTCTTTTAAAGAAAAATAATGCTTATTCTTGAGGGGTTTTGTTTTGTTTTGTTTTGTTTTGTTTTTCCGTTTTTTTTGTTCCCTCACCTTATGTCAGGATTTGTCTGCAAAGTGAAATCGGAGTTTCTAAAAAATCTAAAAATGTAAGATAATAACTTGGGTTTTCAAAATCTGTCATTGATATTATAAAATTACAAGTCAGAAAATGCAAAAAGGTTTGTTGAGAGAACTATAAAAAAAAGATTTTTAAAAAACTTTGTTAATGGGAAAAAAGAAGGAAGTGTTAGAAGATAAATTCTATGGCAGAGCATTAAGCATTGGGAATTGGAACTGCACTAATGAGGAAGTGCACAAAAAGCCTGGGGAGTAAGCCAAGCAGTAGCAGTTCTAAATGCTGCCTGAAGAGAAAGACAACAAGATAACCATAGGCAGAGATGACAAGCTAACTGCGGGACACCCAACCTGTAATTCACATGTAAAACCAGAAGGATGTTACATTTTATGAAGCATATATTCATATCCTTAATTCAGAAGCAGAAAAGACCATCCAGGGAGCATGCCAGAGAGTAGAAACAGCACTGAAGATACAAGATGGAATAAGGATAAGGAATGATTAGAGAATAGATAGGCTGCAACAGTTTAACACAGAAACATCAACAAATACAACAAAGGATGTGACAATGAAAAAAAAAAAAAAAAGGTCTGAATATCAGAAAGTTCTGGAAGCTTGTTAAAAAGATACCAATAGGCAAAATCCACAGGAAAAGCAGTTTAGAGGAAAAAAAGACTCGTCTGCAGTTCTGAAAAGAAACCTTCAAATGAGCAGAAAGATACAGATAGGTGAAGAATACGATGGACATAAGATTGTTATCAAAACCATACAGAATATTCTAAGTCATAAACTTTGAAAGTAAGTAAGGGAAAATGGTAAAAGAAGAGAAAATATCCAGTAATCAGTACAATGACTTCAGCAGAACAAGATGTCTTCTAGGATATTGACCCAACTGCAAGATCCTGAAGTTGGCCCATTTATCTCTGCCTTTACTATGATTAATGAGCACCAAAAGATGAACAAGACAACAAAGAATTTATGGGCCTTTGTCAAGACAATCTATTTGATAATAGAAATAGCTCCATTCTCAGGTATCCATCTGGCTAAATACCACAGCCTGAGGAAGAAATCAAAACTGCTGTTTCTGGTCTGAAAGAGGATGGTATATGGATACACCATGATTTGATACCTTCAGGATGGGGGCAGATGGAGTAGATAAAAACTTAATGGTCTTTTTCTTAACTCCTGGTCCCCTTTGTAGTACTGGCCAGTACAGGGCATTTTAGGGTGGAGAAAACCCTGCACTCAAGGGGTGCACAGATTTCAATTATTTCAAGCTGATGCTTCTTGAATGTTTTTGTTACTTTTGCACTTCTTTTGATGCTTTTGGTGAAGAAAGCAGGACATTAGGCAATAACAGCCTTCATTTATGAATTAGTAAAGAAATCCTGGTGATTAAAATTTTACCAATTTACTCAGTTATTAAGCAACACAGATATGGTGGTAT